CAGCCAGTGATGTGGGCTGGGGGAATTCTGGGAGTTGAAGTCCACACATCTTAGAGTTGCCAAGGTTGAGAAACACTGCTCTAGACTAATTGGCAACAGGTCTCTGGGATTTCAGACCTACCTGGAGATGCTGGGATTTAACATGGGACCTTCTGCATACAAGTGACCTTTTCCACTGAACTACAGCCTTTCCCAGGATTAAGAAAGATTCCACACCATACAGTCAGATCTGGAAATAGCCAAGTCAAAAGCTATGTTTGGATATGATACCAAAAGAGAATCAGGCAGTTTGTGGCTACAGGGCCACATGTGATAGAAAACCTGTAGCGTAAGCCCTATAATAATAGGCTTAACATGGTTTTAAAATAAGAACCCCATTACAAGGGAAAAAAATCTACTCCAGAAACAAGGAAAAAGCTAATCCCACTTATTTGCTTTATATACCTCTCCACTGCAGCCCCTGGACCCACACAAAACCCCTGGCCTGCAAACAGTCGTCCACGTCTGCACTAAACTATGACACACACAATGAAAAAGAAAATTTAATGAACTTCAAGCTCACGTGCTCCCCCCTGGCTGGGAGTAGGTGTTTGGGAGCCTCTGCTTTTAGATAATTATGGTTTGTTATATCTTTTGCTGTAGCAATTTATTAAAGATTGAGCTATGGTTAGTTTCAAATAAGCTACTTTCAAACCTTCATTTTAAGTTGAACTGTTCAAACTAATCAGGGATTATTGCAACCACAATTCTGTCCCTTTGTGGACTTGGCTGCGTAGGAGGAAGAAACAAAAGGAGGAGCCTCTGAACCATGGTTCATTGTAACTCATTCCTGCTTATATGCTTGTTAATTTATTAGTTGGCAGAGTTAATGAACATTGCTCTGGATGCCTGTGCACTCTGGACTCTTTCTAATTATGTTTTCCTAAGTTGCCTTCTGCCCCTGAAATGAGGTAACTGAAAAATCATGGGATGTTTTGGCCATTCCTTATTTCATCTTTCCCTAACTGATGGTCTCCTGGTCAGTTGGATCACAGTTCCCAGAATTCCATTCCAAATGACCAAGAAAGTTGTCTAGGATTTTGGAAAGTGTACCAGGATGGGAAAGGCTATTCTATACCTTTTAACAAGAAAAGTTTGTGTTTTTCTTATTCTACCAAGTCCGTTCCTTCTTCTTCCTGCGTGCTCTTGTCTCTGCCATACTGAACAGGTGCCAAACTTCTCAAATATTTCCAGTGAACTTGCTCCAGATCTCCTCCCTCCCCATTTACTTACTTCTTTTCTCTTCCTTATCTCAGCCCCTGCTTCCAAATGCCAGACAGAACACCTCCACGTGGAAGGATATGGGCCAGAAGATACTCCTCCTTATACAGTACATGTGGCCAAAGGGGAACTACCCACTGCAGGGCGTGGTGATATTCTGTCTAATGCTTATGGGGCTGGAGCGTGCCATCAATGTCTTTGTGCCCATCTACTACAAGCATATTGGTAAGAACAGTGGGTAACTTGCAAGGAGGCACAGTGCTGCCTCTAGGGCAGGGCTGGTGAAACTTTTGGTTAGCCAGAAGTTGCACTTAATGATGTGTGTGAAGGTTTAAGGCAGTGTTTCTCAATCTCAGCAACTTTAAGATGTATGGACTTCAGCTCCCAGAATTCTGGGAGCTGAACTTCACACATCTTAAAGTTGCTGAGATTGAGAAACACTGGTTTAAGGGATATAGTGGGTGAGTTGATGATGCAAAATGAGGGGAACCATGTCGTGCACATGGGCAAACTGGGATTTTTTTTTCTAGTGACAGTACATAGAGTTTTCTTCATTGCTTCTTATAACTATGCTAGGCCTATTTTAGGTTTACCCTTCTGATTTGGCCTTTTCCCATGTCAAAGTAATGAGAAACTCAAATTCAGTGATATAATCAAGGAAGGCTCTAAGAGTGACAAAAGAGGATCAGGGGAGGGGTTCAGGTTTCCCACCCCTGTGTTGTGGGGATGATCTGTGTCTGGGAAAGTTTTGTAGTTAGAGCAGGGAGGATAACAGTCTAAGAAACGTCCTCTATTTTCAATAATGCTTAAAACTAACCAGCAGAGGGTGCCCTTACACAGCTGTTTACAGGATGCAGAATAATTTTATAGACAATGGTCAAGTACAACCAACCTAGCTCAGTTGTTTGGTATTAGCTATTAATTTTCTGATAGATACAAATACTTGTCTCAATGAGCCCTAGCCATCAGGAAGCTCTCCAGGGTGTGAGTCCTTACCAAGCACTTGTTTTAAGCATTACGTGCAATATAATGTTCGAAGAGGCTCTTAACCAACCTCAGTCCCCAGGGTGAGTGATTGCCAGCAAAATGCTTGACACATATAGGAGCATTGCAATCCACGCGGTAGGAAAGAGCTTTTCTTTGTGCCAAGACATGTTCCTCTTGTCCCTTAGAGGCACCTCCATGCATCTGCAAAGAGTGATAGGGTGGATTGGGATAACAAAGCTCTCAGCTGTACTACTTAAGACTGCAGATTTGAGGGGGAAGATCAGATCTGACTGCACCTTTACGTGATTAAAAAGTACCCTTCGTGTTGAAAGATAGCAGATGAGAGAGACATTTTGCGGAACTCATTCCTTGATACCACACATATACTAAAAGAAATACGATGCGTACACCATTTCTACCCACAAATGTACTTATAGTTTTGCCACTTCATTTTTACGTCACGTAGAAAACAGTTCTCTTTTTCATCAACCTATTCTGTGTTCTATCTTTGTTCCTGATCAAGACTCACAACTTCAGTGAAGCCTTTCTTGGTAAATTGCAGCTTCACCTTGCACTTCCCCAACCACTCTTGTCTTATCCCCACTTTCTCTGCCTGCTTCCCTGCCCTTCTTCCATCTCCAACTTCTCCATCTCATGTACATTCTGATCTCTAGATGGAAAATTGCATCTTCATCTGCAAAATTATGGATCGTGATTTGATAGGGCTGGGGACTACGCTAGTCCTTTTGACTGGGAAGACATTAATTTGGTAGCTTTTTCAATTCTCCTGAATATCTCTCCCTGTTCTCTCACCAGATCTTCACCCCTGAGCCCCACTGTGACCTCCTATTCTGCATGCTTCTAGACTAACTTTCTGTTAAATTTCTGAGAGGAGTGCTAGCTCTTTGTTAGCAGAAGCTGCTGGTGTGTGCCAGGTTCCCATGCCCTGGTGGGCACTGTGAGTGCCAATTCAGGGCAGCTATTGAGAGGCATCTGAATAGGGGGGGATGGACTCTAGACCTGCCTTTCAGCCCTGACTTTTAGACTTTACAAAAGAATCCCTGCAGGCGGGAGGCATGGAACCGCAAACGGCATACAAAATGGCTTGATGGGGAGGCATCTGAGAGCAGGGAAGGCTCTGTCCTACATGTTAAGTAGCTGCAGGACAGGGATACTGTCTTCCTCACGCCCACCTGGAAGAGGCCATGTTCTGCAGGTCTTAACCAGATTCTCTACCTATTCTTAGTCTGACTCAGTGCAGCTGTCTGGTATTCTAAAGCTCACCCCTGTCCACCAATGGGCTTAAGAACGTGGTTTTCCCTGCTGAGTCAAGCCAGCGATCCATTTTGCTCAGCCTCCTGCCTTTGCCAGCAGGGAATGATGGGCATGCTTTAGTTATGAGGCTATTAGATGGCACATGGCCACGCCTCCAATATATTTGTTTAATCACTCCCACACACACACGTGCAAACAGAAAGGGGGCAAAAGGGAATAGTGCTCTTCAGCAAGTTACTTTAGCCTTGTCCCCCTCCCTAGCAGTCTTGCTCTTGCTCATGGTGCTCTGCCTGGAGCTGTGGCAGAGTGGAGGGAGCCATGTTCCATAAAGCACGCTGCCAGTGACATTGTTATTCTTAATGGATGACACAGTTCTGGTGTGATGCACACCATGATGGTATCCAGCAGGGTGTTGGGGATTACAGTGCTTCGCAAAGTTCCCTGTAGACCTTCTTGCCCAAATGGGTAGAATGTGACTCCCAAATCCCTTGACTGCGGCAAAAGGACGGCCTGTTCCAGTGGCAGATGCAGAACCGCTGGACAATTATGGGCTACGGACAGAGTGACCAAGGACTGTGGGTAGTCTATGTCTGTTAATTCACAGTTTTTGGTAGAAATTGTGCTTTCAGCTCTCATGGCTAACAACCATCAGTATCCTCCACATATTCCCCTAATTTCCACATACTTATCTGTTTCTTTTGACTCACTTGTACTGCTATGATGGATTTGAGGTGGGGGGCAGGATTCAATTGCCTATCAGTTTCCAGGGATGGAATTAAGGATCTCAGTTCTTAAAAATTCACAAGCCAAAGGAATGAGTTTTGTAAATGTTTTGTTCACAGATGAATTCTACATCAGTCTATGATTATTAATCTATAATTCATGTAGAGTTACTTTTAGCTAGTTAGTCACTGGGAGTCAGGCAGCATATAAATTTAATAAATTATCATCATCATCATCATCATCATCTTAATTCCTTCGTTTTTATACTGCCAGACTCAACATATTCCACATGGACTTCTGGTGGTGTACAATAAAACTAGAAATAATCCCAAGTAATACAAATACATTGTAGTATATTAAAATCATAATATGACTCATTCAGTTACTCCAAATAAAATGATATACCAGTGACAGACCTTAATCAATTATCCTTCTGAATAGCTCCATTTTATACAGGTTTCCTAAAGGACCAGAGTGATGTTGACATTTGAATTTCTGGTGGGAGGCTGTTCCTAAGGTTATAAATTTTAGTACATTAATTAAATCCTTAATTCTACATTTAACTTTTCTTTCCTTGTAGGTCTCCTGTAAATCCTATTGGTCCTCCTGTTTAAATGTTTTCCTTGCCTTGTTATTTAATGAATATATTTAATGTAATGTGCTGCGCAGTATGTCCCTGGATTTATGTGTGTCAAGAGACACACATGTTATGAAGAAGTTAGAGTACTACCAGTTTCCCGTTCAGTATCTTGGTGGGAAAACCCAGGAGGTTTACGTGTTGTGCAGGGCAATTGCACAATAAAAGCCTCTGCCTGGATGGCGGGTCAAACTTTTCTCTCTAGCTTCTCTGTCTCTGTGCTTCAAATTTGGCATGTGTGTTTTGTGCCACATCATGAGGTGGGCAGAAGGCGTATCACAGTGGATGGAGAGTTGAAATGTGAGTCTGAGATTTACTCTGGGAGATCTGGCTTGAAATCTGTTGGCTCACTTTGTAGCCTTGGGACACTCACTGTTGCCCATCTTTAGTTCTTCATCCTAAAAAAATGGGAATGACCATCTTAGTTTTGAAAAATCAGTGACACATATTCCTTCAAGGTCACCTGCCCCCATATCCCCTGCCATCCCTCCCTGTATATGCCATTTTAATTTATGCCTTTGTTTGGGAGCAGTATGGCTTTAACATCATCTACCATGTGCAAAATAAAATAAAATGGAAAGGGGGGAGAAGGTCTCTTTCTGATCCCCTCTTCCCACCATGTAGAAAGATTGAAAGGCAAAAGAGGGGCACTGCCAGATGGGGTCACCCACCCTGCCAGTTAGGATTACCCAGCAAAGTGCCGCTGGCGGCAAACAAACAAGGGGCCTTTGTGTCTCCCAGCAGCCTAGCAGGGGGTTGGGAGTGGGACTTTTGTTGCTGTGCAGTTCCTTTAAAGGGAGAACAAAGGAAGCAAGGAGATTCCACTGGAGGCTCTCCGGCTGGATGAGCAGGAGGAGACACTCGGAAAAGAGTACCCGTGACTGTCAAAAGAAAATCCATATGGGGAGAGCAGGATCTGACCCAGAATATGACACTTTAGCTCTGAACTGCCTGTTCAGGTTTGGAAAATGAACACAAAAGGGAAAAATATTTCCTACTCCCAGGGGATTTCAAGGCAGTGTACCTAAAATTACATAAACATTACTCAGCAGTTGGACAGAGATAAAAAGCTTTAAAATGGGCAGTGTTTTGATAGGGGCACCAAAAAAGGGGGGGGGATGCTGCTAGTTATATTTCACTCAAGAAAAGCTTCAAAATTGGGCACCACCACTGAGAAGGCCCCTCCCACCATTTTCTTTTTGTCAGAACATAATATATTTCTTTCAGCCATGACCCTGGAAGAAAGGCCTCTTTGAAGATCTTTACACATGGGTAGGAGGATGAAAAAAGTAGGCTGCTTTGAATTCAAAGCAGTTTGGGAATAGGCTGCTGGGATGAAGGTGAAGAACTCCCAGTAGGAGGGCACTTGATACTCATCAAGCTGTTTCCTGCCTATTAACCATCCATGACTGATGATGAATGTCTCTCCCCAACTCAAGTTGTGTCTAGGTGGCTTCTCTTAGATCCTAGCTTGACAGAACACCTCCTAAGCTGCCCAAATTGTAGTTACCCTTTCTTTTCAGAAGAAAGATTTGTCCTACCAGGAGAGATTCATTAGTTAGGGCTATTTTTTCCTGGCTCTCAGAAGCACTTTAGTAATTCTCAGACAGCTACCCAATTTTAATCTTAAGTGTTCTTCTAAATCTAGTGAGGCCACTCTATTCTAGCACTGTTCAGACCAGCATGTCAAGCTATAAAGTGAGCTAGATGGTGTGACATCTCAGTTCTGAGATTTATTGCCTGAGGCTGGCCCCACTGTGATTCTGCTAGCTTGAGATCATAACTTGCTTGAGGATAGGATAGAGGGAACAGAGCAAAAAAATCCAGGCATTCGTAGAGTGTATAGCACAGAACTCCTCTCTTCCTGCCCCTAATCTCATCTTCCCCACCCCCATCCCCCACCCCCCATGGCAATGCTGGGGACTCTAAGGAGTGTTGGTTGGGAACATCATGCTGAAAGCAGGGCAGAAGAAGAACTATTACTCACATCATTCCCAGTCTGCCTATCTAAGTGTGACTTTATGCATGCAAAAGAAAGCAATTAGAAGCAATCAAGAATTGATCTAAGGAATGATGGGCAAAGGGTATATGAATATGATCGGCAGTGGATGGGCAAATAAGTCAGGTTAAAGGATTGTGGCTTTCAGATTAACTTTTGTCCTCCTACCCTGTAGTGGATGAGCTCACAGAGAGAGTGACTTGGCACATAGTGCTTCAGACCATTTGTATCTACGCGATCCTCAAGTTCCTCCAGGGAGGAGGGGCTGGTAAGTTATTGTGTGAAACTTATAAGATGCATATGACTAGCTGAAAGTTGCCATGGGACTCCTATCCTCCACCTTAACATATATATGAGATTTCTCTTCTTTTCTAACCTTTTTGCCCTCCGAGAAACATACCAGCTCAGCTTTATAGCATAACTGAACTTTTGAAATGGAAGTGGTTGTCCAGCTTGAAGCTGACACATAAAATTTTGGAACAAAAGCATTTCCTCTACTTCCCTTTCCTATGTAGTATGGCAGACTGCAGGATCTGCAGTCGTGAGGCATGTGCCTCCTGGTCATATTTAACCCTGTGGCTGGAAGCTTTAAATGCTTATGTGCTCAGCCCCTGTGTAGCTGAAAGAATTCATGGGGAAATATAAATTGATCATGATGGCTGGGGAATTACAGCTGATGTCAGTCTTGGCCAGATGGGTTGGGGATTTTAAGAATTGAAGTCTACTAGTTCTGGTAGGTGACTGATTAGGAAAGACTTCTTCTTGTTCAAAGTATTGGGGGTGCAGTCAGGTTTTCATCTGAAACAAAAACACATGCACTGAAACAAAAATACACGTGCTTGCCGTAGGAACCACTGGCTTCCTTAACAATGTTCGCACCTTTCTGTGGATCCGCGTGCAACAGTTCACCAGCCGTGAAGTCCAGGTAGAGCTCCTCCGGCATCTCCATAACCTGTCTCTTCGCTGGCACCTGGAGCGCAAGACAGGCGAGGTGTTGCGCAGTGTTGACCGAGGCACTAGCAGCATCAACAGCTTGCTCAGGTATGTAGACATGTCTGGCCAGTGGGAATCCATCAATGTTCAACAGCTGGCAGAGATTCCTGCAGTCAGCTCTTCTCCTTCTGACCCCAGTGGGGGTGGAGGAGTTTTGGAGAGGGCATTGTACACTGTGTGATCTTAGTTTCCCACCCTCTCATCCTACAGTTACATCATATTCAGCATCTTCCCCACGGTGGCTGATATTATAATTGCTATTGTGTATTTCGCCTTAACCTTCAGCGGCTGGTTCGGCCTCATCATCTTCCTCTGCATGAGCCTTTACCTCAGTGAGTGTTTTGATGCCAGGGGCAGCAGTGGGGGGCAGAGAGAGGTTTCCATTGTCTTCAGAGTCAAGTCTGTGATACTGACATAACGGAACTAGGCGTTACAATTTAATAAAAACCTCCCCCCACTTCATGCTTTTTTTTTCTGATTAATTACAGCCCAGAATTTCCAGCCATGAAGGCCAATGGTCAGAGTAGCTGGGTCTTCTGGAGTTACAGTCCCAACATAGTTGGAGGGGATGCCAGATTGGGGAGGCTGTTTTAGAAAAAGAGCAGATGATTCATTCCTGATCCAGCTTCCAACCTAGATATTAAGGGGGCGTTAACGCTTTGCCCCTGTTGGGGTGCTGATCCAAATTGGTCTGTTAATATGCTTTACGTTGCTGAACAATAATCGATTGAAACAAGCAGGGTCTCTTTTTAGCAAGGTAAATGACACACAGGAAGAAATACTTTGACCCTCAGCTGCCCTGGGAGGGAATTCTGTGTCTCTTCTACTCCTTTCAGATCCTGTGAAGCAAAGGAGGTGAAGCTAACCAGGTAGTATGACATACCTGCATCCTTTTTATCGTGATCTGAAATAAAGTACATTATGCAAAGCTAAGACAATAAGCTAACTTTGCACTGAGGTAAATTCAGAATCTTGCCTATTTGAGTCTCATTTAACTCAGTAGGACTTAAATTAGGCACGACTAAATTGTCTTATTGGTTCTGATGCGATTAAAATAGGGGTGTGTAATCCATGAGCTGCATGTAGCCCATAAAGCCCCTAAAGTCACCCACTAAAACTGCTGAAAAATGGAGGCAAGATTTTTTTGGTCATTTTTCTATAGAAAACCAAATTAAGAATAAGCCACAAGATAGCTAATTGAGAAGTCCCCACAAAACCTAACCTCCAGGAAACACCCTAATTTCCTTCTATAAGTAATGTCACGATGTTGTTGTCCTGCCTCTTACGGCATTCAGTTGTTCCTTCCCCCATCCCAATTAATTTTCAAAACTTAATCCTCCAGCCACCAACAGATTGCTGTCCTTTGGCTAAGCATGAGAAATTTTCTCTTGATCCAACCCATACTTTAATTGCATCCCTGTAAATTATGCATACTAAGCATATTTGGTAAGTTTGCATGAAGTCTTTTTTCACTAGTAATAGCAGAAGACCCTGTTCAGCTACCCATTCCCAAATGGGAAATGGAAACAAAATGGGGGGAAAATGGGAAAAAATCCACAAAATGGAGGGGAAAGGTTTTGTTCTTACCTTAAAATAAAAGTGTCCCGTTCAGAATGTTTGTTTAAAATATTTTAATGGGTTGTCTTCCTACAGAACAAAAGTCAAAAAACGTTTTGAGTGTGCAGACATAGGGAAAATGGGAAATGTGAATGACCATGAAACGTGCCCATGACTCTCTTGTTTTTCATCCTACAGCCACAAAAATAGGTGCAGGAGTAATTCATGCTGAGTGCTCCTTATCAGCAAATATAAAGAAAAATTGGCTCAAATTAAATCCCCACTCCATACAATGGAAGCCTTAGTGCGCCTGCACAAACAGCCACAGAACGTGAGCACAGCAAAACAAGCAGCAGCTAGAGTGGATTTGCTTCTGAATAGATCATAAAAGTGGAGCAACACCAAAAACAGACTTTTGGCTGACAGTTTGTTTCTAAGGCATATGCACAGTACACTTTGCCATTTGGCCACCTGCAAAGCAAGTAACATAATTTTTGGAAATCTGCCCAGAAAGGAAAGTTCAAAAATTCAGGGACAATGTTATATTATAACCCATGAACTTTTACTTTCTCATAGCAAATATTTAAAAAAACAACAGTAAATCAAGTAGGGTGCAATCTTTTTCTTGCATAAAATAGGACTTGCCCTCAGTTCTTTGCTGAACTATCTCATACTATTAGCTGCAGGAGTGGAACATATCATTCCTGTTTTATTAGTTAATGCACTCTAAGTCCCCAACACTCACTTGGAGTGTTCCAGTGTCCCACAAATTCTTTTAAATAAAGAAAATTCTCATGATTTTCTTTATTTAAAAGAATTTGTGGGACATTGGAACACTCCAAGTGAGACAACATGTCTTGTTTTCTCTTGAACTCAAGGCAAAACTCATGACACAAGGATGCCCATATCAAAGTCAGAACGATTTGCACATCCCTATATTGGAGATATCACTGCCTACCTGTTGTTCGGCTGGCTTTATTAGGGTAAAAAAAATAATGTGCATATGTATACATACACACACTGAAATAATCATGATTTTAAAAATCGGTGTTCTCGGTGCCATTTTTTTTACAGTCTTGATTATGAGCTGAAATGGAAAGAATCAAGAATTTGCCTGTAGTGATAGTTGGCCTCTCTTTTTCCACATAGCACTGACTATAATAATGACTGAGTGGCGAACAAAGTACCGCCGTGATATGAATCTTCGTGACAATGAGGCCAAGTCTCGAGCTGTTGACTCACTTCTCAACTTTGAGACGGTACTTAGGACCTCCGCTTACCAAAGCCGGTGGGTGGGAGTAGGGAGCGCAAGGAGTGGCAGCAAGCCATTCTGGCTGCCTTTTGTCCCTGTACTGTTTGAGATTGCTTCAATTTCAGATTTTGGCTTAGAGGAGGAAGAGATTTCCATTTTGGTCTAACAATAACGCCCCCAGGTTCAATGAATATCTTTTTTATCAAGAGTTAACCTAGAATAAAAGCTGGGTGACTTAGCGTAGGAAATACCAGTTTTGTACTGACCAATCCCTGGTTTGGTTTGTTGCAGGTGAAGTATTACAGTGCAGAGGACTACGAGGCTAGACGCTTCAATGATGCCATTATCAAGTATCAGGTAGAGAAGGACCCAGGTGCAATGTTTGGACTTGTTTCTTCTATGTCTATTAGAATGCACTGTTTTTTTTGGTCAGACCTTCCTTTTCTTTTTCCCTTGAGTACCAGCACATAGGGATATGTATGTCCGTATACTCCTATGTTTTCATGTATGGACACATGCATGCAATAATTGGGAAGGGAATGAATAGTTCCATTTCCTTAGAGAAAGAAGTGTTGCACATAATTGTCTAGGAAGGGAATCAATAAGTACATCATAACAAGGGAAGATTAAGACACGGAGAACCAGAGACTTGTTGAGGTATACTCAGTAGAAATGTTACTGTGAGAATAACACAGGGCAAACCATGTAGCCAGGGCTAATGAGCCAAGTACTCACACCTGATAGATACTGACTCAGCACTATGTGGGGGATATAAGCAGCCTGCGAGCTGCTGGTTATGGCTGGATGTTGCTATGTGTGTTACTAAGAGCTGTGGAGTAGGTTAGTAGGTAAGATATAATGTGTATACAGCTGTATATAATACAATCTGTAGCTTTAACTAAAGCAGAGTCCAGTTGTTTTTCTTCCTGGACCACTCAAGGACTGGCCCAAGGTGCGACTCTGACAAGACTTTTCCTGGGATTTTGTAACACTGGCATGTTTGTTAAAGATTATTCTCTCAGTCTGTTAATAAATAGCGTAGCTGCTCAGATGCTGCCCAAACTGCTCAGTCATAGCCAAGCAAGGCCATGGCAGGATTTTCTATTGCGGAGAGTTTGGATAGACTCAGCAAGGCCCTTTTCAAGTTCAGTTAATTCTGTCCTGTAAATAGGAGGAGTGGCATGTCCAGATGGGAGGAGTATTCTAGAAGAGCATGCCTGGCTGACCTAAATTGTCTTGTAGTGGGATGGAGAAGACATAGCTTGTCCATTCCTGGATGCATCATTGGTCTGCTGTGTGGATGTTGGAGGGTAAAAGATCTGTTGAACAATCTCTGTTGGCTGCAGAGATTTTTAGCATTGCATTGTGGAATTAATTTATTTTATTTTCTTTTGGTAGGTTGCAGAATGGAAAGTAAATGCATCCCTGGGCCTGTTGAACCAGACACAGAATCTGGTGATAGGCTTGGGGCTGCTGGCTGGATCCCTCCTATGTGCTTCTTATGTGACTAATAAGAAACTCCTTGTAAGTTCTTGCTCACTGCATAAGTGGTTTGGGTTTCTCTGAGTATGAAGAATCTGAAACAAGAACCAATCTACAACCCATCCTTACTATGGAAGCCCCTCCAGATGCTTCATCTGGCTTCGTGAATGATTTCCCATGAGCTAGAAAGTTTTTAGACCGTTGCAATGCACCTCTACAAAACCTGGCAGTGTTTTGGAAATTTCTGTAGTAAAACATCAAGCTCATCTACATATATCTGCTTGCAAATGAACAGGCACTGAACCTGTTTAAAATGCATTCATGAAGTTGCCAGTGGAAATAACAGCAGCACTAGCCTTCTCTGCATAATACTTACTGGTAGTCTTGCGATGATCTGCAGAGTGCCACGAAAAGCAGGAAAGGGAGTTCAGAGGGCTCTAGTAATCTGAATAGGTGGAAGAATTCACCAGACAAAACTATGAAAGAAATTGCCGAATGTAGTTGTGGAAAGTGATGACTGATGTCAAGAGTCTTTGTAGTGTTCTACAGAATAGTGTTTTCTGAATTTAAGACAGTGAGTTCCAAAGGCAAATCTCAGGTCATGCTGAGAAAAACGGGCAGCCGAGGGTGGAGAAGATTAAAATGAAACCAACTGGAGAATTGGATCTCTCTTTGAGAACAAAAGCTATTGCAAACAAGAGGCCCAGCCTGGAAAAGATTTGTCACCAATTAAGAGATCTAAGCAGGAAAGGGGGGTGGACCTCACCAAATGGGAGCTGGTTTCCACAAACATCAGAAGAAAGAGATTGGGATGTTTTGGGTTTGTACTCCAGATGTGAAAACACATTCCCCACATGGAGTGCAATCCGAGGGACGGGAGGCAAAAAGGCGCTTTTTAAAACCAGAGGAGGTAATGGAGAAGTGCAGCTATAAAAATGTAATATGGCTGGCACTTTCACATCTAAATGAAGGGAAAAGTGTCAAGTATGAATTATAGGCAAACTGAACTTGGTTAAATGCTAAACAAATTAAAACAAAAAAAAGCCTGGGAATTACTGAACCACGTTGCACCAATGAATTTTTGCTGCAAGGAATGCTGCAAGTATAAAAGTTTTATCATCAGTCTAGTTTGACACATTATTTGGGATTCCAGAAAGGAATTATTTCACCTCTCCTTCCCCTCTGACAATCAAGTTAGTGGTGAGGAACCTATGGCATTCCTGATCATTGACCATGCTAGGTAGGGTTGCTTACAGCGTTATTTATTTATTTGGTAAATTTATATAGCAGCCCATCTCACATACGTGACTCTGAGTGGCATACAAAGTTAAAAAATCTTTACTTCCATGCATGAATGATTTTCAACCTGGTTTCCACTTGTGTTAGACTATAGCAGTGTTTCTCAACCTTGGCAACTTTGAGATGGGTGGACTTCAACTCCCAGAATTCCCCAGCCAACCATGGGGAATGCTGGCTGGGGAATTCTGGGAATTGAAGTCCACCCATCTTAAAGTTGCCAAGGTTGAGAAACACTGGACTATAGCCTAATTGTCACTGGGATTGTTAATCTACACCTCAGCTCTAGGTGAAATTCACCTATTTCTCCTCTTCTCCTTGCATCTTTTCACAGAGAAAAGTAGCAAACCAGGGGAAAAGTTGCTAGCCTAAACTGTTCCCTAATATCTTCAAGTCATGAGTGTAGAAGGAGCAATGAGATACATAAGCCTCCATCTGTAATCTAAAAGATTCAGAACAGATACTTAAGGTTGATTTAATTGGTAGACGGCTTCTTCTTTTCCTCCCTCCCCCCCTCCCCCTGCCTGCCTGCCTGCTGCCATCCTGATCTGGGGAAAGAAAAGCAAGGAAAAAGTTTATTCTTTTTCTTTCATACCCTATGTATGGGCAACAGATTGGAAGGTGTGGTTTTGATCAGATGGTAGAAAGGCAGTGCATTAAACTGCCCCAAATTTGAAATTTGGTCCTGCAAATTAGCCCTGTGTCTGGACACACTCATATCTACCATTTAATTGATGGGAGGAGAAGACAGAAAAACCGAGATATAGCTGATATTGCCATGGGCATTGAACCTTGCCTTGGTCTGCAAAAAACTCAGCTTCTGCAGTCTTTGTTCTGGACCTCCTAATTCAGGGTTGGATTAGCGGAATATATGTAACTCACTCTATAGTAGGCTTATAAATCCAAAGAGGAGCTTCCTTTTTTTTTCAATAAAGACAGAGCAGAAATGTATATATTACCCATGGTATCTTCTCAGACCAGTCTGCTTCACCAGAATCTTTGGTGTTTGTATGTACTGTTCTCTGAACATAAACATTTCTTCTGAAATAATATTTTTTTAAATGTTTGAATATCTCAAATCGATAACTCAGCTTAAGTGAAAAAGAAGCCATATTCAGTGAACAAATGTAAGACAAGGGAAATGGGGTTAACTGGGCAAGATTTGGGAGACACTTGATCTTCAGGAATCAACATGTAAATCTGAACTTGACACTGTTTTCAGTGTATTGTATGGGAGGGACAATTGCTATTGTAAAAATGGATATATTCTTCCTGTTTCCTCCAGGTAGGCGATTATGTTCTCTTTGGCACATACATTATTCAGTTGTATACTCCGCTGAACTGGTTTGGCACATATTACAGGTAACTTCATCATTAGGCTACTTTTTTTGTAAATTTATTAGCCATTTTGGGTGACGCAAAGAGAAGTGGGTTGATGAACTTGGGGGGATAAACTGGGTTTATATTGTTGTTTGATTTATAGTCTGCTCCAAACAGAGCACCCATATCCCATTTCTCAGATTTAAATTTGCCTGTAACAAGAAAAGGATTATGTATCTGAATCTAAGAATAATATCTAAAGCAGGAATAAGCAGATCTGTCAGCAGGGACCAAGTCAGCTGAGCACCTCAGGTGAATGCTCATGCCCTAAGAATTAAAGAACAGTGCATTCAAATAATTTGGGCTTCTTGCTCCTCATTCAGTGCATTTATATTCACCCCACTTAAAAAAAAAAACACACACCTTTCCAGTCAAGGGTTTCCCCACAATTACTCTAAAGAGAAAAGCTGAATCAGAAATGTTGACAATCTACTGAAAATCACCTGGAAATTGGTACCAGTGGATACCGCTCTATTTTGTGCTCATCATGACTCTTGTGGATAGTGTTTGCCTTTCATTTTTATACAGAGACTGACAGCAAATAGAAATGTATCCATTTCTGAGATGCCTGAAATAAAACAGAACTAATTGGAGAAATATGGACTTATTTTAAAATATCAGATTGCAATAACAGTCTGTTTATCTTGTAAGAAAGAAAGCTCATCGGAATACAACGTATCACAGGCAAGGTCGAATCCTTGCCTTGAGTTAAAAGACAGGTAGTCTAAGTGCAAGTGAATATGTATTTAATATTTAATATTTTTGGTTCTAAATTAAAAGATAGATCCTTAGCATGGAAGGAGCAGGAAGTCCAAATTATTTGTAAATCTGGTCTAGTATAGGTTTGAATTAGGATTAAACATTAGAAAAGACAAGCTGTATACTGCATAGTAAAATGCATACTGGACATTCTGTATGTATTAATCATATTAAAATTTGATATCTGATGCACTGTCTGCAAATATGTGGACAGTGCAAAGATACAGTAATGATCCCATAGTTTTATACAATTTCAGTTCTTCTTTAGAGTGGGCTAATTGTTTAATCAATATGGGGAAAAATTTTAGTAATTAACAAAATACTAAGTTTAATAACTAGTTGGTTACTGAAAAGTAATCATAAGACATGGAAAGGTGTTGAATGGTGTATTCTGTTCTATTCAAGCTAATACAAACATTTTCTTATTAATTCCTTTTGTATGAATAATTCTACAACTCCAGCAGTGAAAGGAATTACCATAAAAATTCCTCATGCCTAGAAAGCTGAGTTCAGGCTTGGAAAATAGAACACAGCCCTAGGAATTATATACTGTATTTATTCCATTAAAAAGTTCCTTGTTTGTAATCATTTAAGATGCCCTCTCCTTTATTCTTCCCGTATCAAAAATGGTTAAAAAGAGGTGTGAGATAATTTACTATGTGAACATATGTTAAAGATCTGGGAACATTAACTGGGAGGGTGTGACTGATGGGGTTTGCTTTCATGCTTAGGGTGTAAAAGATTGCTGTGTTTGGATGTAAGTACTTGTCTGCTTCATTCCCTTTTCTTTCTTGAAACCTCTTTAACTTGGTTGCTTTGGTGCAATGGAGATTCTGCTTTTCCTTTTCAGAATGATCCAGTCCTCATTTGTTGACATGGAAAATATGTTTGAGCTCTTCAGGGAAGAACTGGAGGTAAGGGAGATCATATCTGTATTTTAGATCATAGCAAACCAGCTTATTTTCCCTTTCTTATGCATTACACCCCATAGACTATAAACTGCAGATAGTCCTCGCTTAACAACCCTAATTGGGACTGGAATTTCTGTCACTAAGTGAAGCAGGCATTAGGCAAAACATCACATGACTGCACCACTTAGTGACGGCAATTCCAGTAGTCCCAGTTGCAGTTGTTAGGTGAGGACCACGCTGTCATTAGGTGAGGACCTCAAGCTTCTCCTACTCTGTGTGAACTGCTGGCTTTGTTCTGCTGCCTCCTCCCCAGCCGGGCCAAGCAAACTCCCTTTGTCAGACAAGGCTCCACCACCCTGCCATGCTCACCTCCACTTCATCACCCCGCACCCACCTAACTCCCCCCTATCTTTGCCTTTTTGGCTACCCTGCACTCTGCCACTGCCTACCCCTGCCACCCCCCACCACCCCCAGCTGACCTTTGCGACCTTCTTTCTCCCACTGCTGATGAAGTGTGCCCAGCCGAGGCAACTGCTGGCCCTTCATGATGGCCTCCACGAGGCCTCTGCAAGACCTCCATGACATGTTGTGGAAGTGTCGCAAAGGCCCCACTGAGGTGTCACAAAAGTCCAACAGCTGCCTCAGCCAGGTGCACCTCAGAAGCAGGAGGCAGAAGACAACAAAGGTCAATGGGGGGAGTGGCAGGGGTAGGCGGTGACAGAGTGCAGGGCAGCCAAAAGGGCAGAGATGGGGGGGGAGGAGGACGGACGGGAGGAGTAGAAGTGCACACTGTGGTTGTAAATGCAGGCAGGCTGCCAAGTGCCCGAATTTTGATCACGTGATTATGGGGGGACTGCAATGGCTATAACTTTGAGGACCAGTCATAACTACCATTTGTTCAGTGCTGTTGTAACTTCGAAGGGTCACTGAACAAATGGCCTTTAAATGACTATCTGTAACTATTAGAACCCAGGAATTGGAGTTTCTAGAAATCATTGCATTGCTTGTTTGTTTCCTGTTATATTGAATCCTTCACATGGGCTGTTTGCACATGTTCAACTAAGTGATAATGTAGTTTGTTTGATTTTAGCCATGCTGGTTTATAAGTCCCAGTTATGGCTTCATATATGGAACAGACCAAGCCAGTTGTAGTTTATTCAATAAACTGTGGTGGAGCAAATTATGGATTATCCTGGCGTGTGAACCCAGCCATTCTGTTGCTGTGCTTCAGGGTTAATTACTAGCACCGATCAGTTTATTGAAAAACAGCAACGTCCCCTTTCAGAAAGGACATACTTGATTTAGTTTAGCCTTTCCCAACCTGATGCCATCCAGCTGCTTTAGAACTACACTGCAACAGCACCCTGGACCTGTTGGCTGGCAGTTCTCGGAGTTGGAAGTCTCTGCATCTGTGAAGGATGCAAGTTGGAAAGGACCAAATTAATCTTTGGGATGTACCTTATTTTGGCCACTGTCATAGCTTGTCTTTTTAAAAAAAAAAAAAAAATAGGCAGCCAGATTTGGGTTAGCCAGGAGCCAAATGGCATCTTCCATTTTCAGACTTGTAATTTTTTATCATAATACTGGTGGTTAGGGATATTACCACTAGAACCTGTACCTGAACCTCTCCAAGGTGTATCTTTGGAACATAGGAAGCTGTGATGAACAGATCAGATCTGTTCATCAATAGAGGTTTTTCAACTATGGTGGCAACTAACCAGGGTTTCCAAAAGAAGCCTTTCTTGTCATCTGCTATCTAGCTTTTATTACTGGAACTGCTACAAACTAAACCTTGAATTTTGTGTCTGAATTTTGTGCCTGAAAAACAAGTGCCCTACCTCAAGAATGGTGCTTCTGTATGTGAATGGCTTCCAAGAGCAACTTCTTGGCCACTGGGGCAAATCTTCTTGCCTCCACCAACTTAGCTAGCCAGGATCCTAAGTACAGGTGATATTACAGATGTGTTAACTTATAGGTGAAGGATGAACCAGGTGCTGGAGATCTTCGATTTCTCGCAGGACGTGTGGAATTTGAAAATGTCCATTTTGGCTATGTAGAAGGGTGAGTAGAGAAGGTAAAACTATTGATGGCGGCAAATGTGCATGTTGAATCTGAAAAGGAAGGAAGGGTTGAACAACATTTTTTCAACAGTAGGCAGGTCACATGGAGAATAGGTGCTCAGAGGACTTAGCAAAGAAAGGGAAAGGATAGTGATGGTGACAGTGTGAATGTGAGCCATGTGCTATCTCATTAAAGCTTTCCAGTGGGACTTACTATGGATGAGATAAAAGCTCAGAAACAGACATGTTTTGTATCTCCCTTCTGAACCATGATGAGTGAGAAAGGTAGGAACTAAGCTTATAATTCTTGAAAGATGTTTGGGGAATTAATAAAATATAGAGTTCAAAAACCTGCTTTTCTTTTATCTGTATATTAACCCTCTTAACTTAGGTTGCTTCTATGGAGCACCATAGTCATTGTTATTCAGACTATTCCAGTATGTGTCTGGAGCAGAGGAGGGCATCATGTATGGGAGGTGTCACCAGGGAGCTTCAGAAGAGCAATGACAGGTTGAGAGATGGGTGACTGCTCTCTTTTGTTATTCTCCACACAGGAAGGAAATTTTACATGATGTTTCCTTTACCGCAATGCCTGGGCAAACTCTAGCGCTGGTAAGGAGATAGGAATGGCTCTGCTGTAAATAATGGTGTTCTGTAATAGGACAGTACATTTTTTTGCCTCCCATTTGATAGGAATAGTGACAGGCCCCAAAGAAGGGCCCAAAAACAGAGGTTAAAACTTGGTAAGTCTCCCCACTTTCCATTTCTTCCCACAGACTTAATTTATGGGGACACTTTGCCTTCTCTCCCTTTCTCTCTAGGTGGGACCCTCTGGGTCAGGAAAGAGTACCATTGTCCGACTGCTGTTCCGCTTTTATGACGTGTGGGGAGGCTGCATACGAATAGATGGGCAGGATATCTCTAAGGTAACAAACCCATTGGGATGTGTTGATAGTAGAAGGGACATCCATCTTGGATCAAGGCATGGAGAAGGTTCGTTTCAAAGGTAGTGGGGTGTGAGGAGGATGAGAAGTGTACCCCCAAATATGGTCTAAATAAATTGCTGAAACCATGAGTTTCAGCCTCATCTGTACATACAGTGGCTTGTACAGTGGGGCAAAAAAGTATTTAGTCAGCCACCAATTGTGCAAGTTCTCTCACTTAAAAAGATGAGAGAGGCCTGTAAGACCTCAACTATGAGAGACAAAATGGGGGAAAAAATCCAGAAAATCACATTGTCATTGCCAACAAAGGATATATAACAAAGTATTGAGATGAACTTTTGATATTGACCAA